CCGGAGGAGCGGAGGAGCCAGGGCCGCCGCGTTCTCCCGACCTCTCCCGCATTTCCCAGACTCCCACCCCTCACGGGGCCGCTACCGAGTGCCTCCCGATCCCATCCTGTCCCCTCTTTTCCCTCCCCGTCCCCTCCTGTCCCCCCCGCGTCCCCACCTGGCCTGGGCCGCCGTCACCATGGCCACGCCGGAAGTGCCCTCAGGAGGGTCCTGCCCTCACCGGTCCGCCCGCTCTGCCGCCCGGGCGGGAACCGGCGCTGCCGCACGGGGGTTCCGCCCTCCTCCCCACCCCACCCCCCGGCGTTCCCCCTCTGCCTGTGGAGGATCCCGCAATCCCAAGGTGGGTGAGGTTGGGAGGGTCCGCAGTGGGTCGTCTGGTCCATCCTCACTGCTCAAGAAGGGTCATGGCAGAGCACGTGGCACGGGATGGTGTCCAGACGGCTCTGGAATATCCCCCGTGAGGGAGACTGCACCCTCTCTGGTCTCTGTTCCAGTGCAAAGTTCTTCCTCGTGTCCAGATGTAACTCCCTGGACATCAGTTCTTCTCATTTCCTCTTGTCCTGTTGCTGGGCAACCCCGAGCAGAGCCTGGTCCATCCTCTGACACTGCAGAGAGTGATGGGGTCCCCTCTCAGCGTCTCCTCTTGGGGCTGAGCAGCCCCAGCTCCCTCAGCCTTTCCTCGTCACAGAGGTGCTCCAGTCCCTTCAGCATCTCTGCAGCCTCTGCTGGACCCACTCCAGGAGCTCTGTGTCCCTCTATCCCGTGTCTCCTCCATCCTCTGGCCGAGCTATCCATGGGCTGTGCTGAGGGATGCTGTTCCTGGGGCTGGAATGCCCAGGGATGGATGGAAGGGGACAAACAGGAGGGTGGGTTCAGCTCAGCTTCACCCAACACCTCATGATATTTTTTTACCATCAAATTCCAGACAGGGAGATTTGGCTGTTCCAGAACAGCTGAGCTGGGCGGGCTGTGCCTCTGGCTCGGTTTTGGGGGGTCCCTGTAATTAATCTGAACTCCCAGACTGGGTGTCCTGATGAGCCTGAAAGAATTCCCATCTGCAGCAGGGACATTTCACATGCCCATTGCTGATTACCCCCACCTAAACTCCGTCCTCTGATACCTCCACATGAAGGTTGAGGTGCAGAAACACCACAGAACGTCCTGAGTCAGGAGGGGCCCACAGGGATCATCGAGTCCAACCCCTGGCCCTGCACAGGACACCCCAAAACCCCACCAGGTTTCTGAGAGCCCTGCCCAGCGGTGCTGGCACAGGACAGGACTGTGTGGCACGTGTGGCTGTGAGGAAGGATGGGGTGAGTTCCTGGAGGAGGAGAGAAAGAGGCGTTTCTGCAGAGCCCCTTTCAAAGCTGTGCTCAGGGAAATCTGAATTCTCCCTTTTTTTCCAAGAGCTTTGGGCAGGAATGGGGGCCTGGCTGTGCTGCACATTCTGCAGCTTTAAATCTCCTCTGCCAGGAGCTGGCACTGATAAGGGACAATAACATTGCCAGGCTGTAGCACAAACCTGAGGGCCCCGTGATCCCAAAAGCCCAAAGTCCAAATGTGTAAGGGCTGAGGAAGGAAAAAGCACGTGGCTTCATCCCAGCACAGGGAGCTTTCCCACCTCGTACAGTGTGTGTGAGCAGAAGGCACTTTTACAGGTTCAGAAATACTGTTTTCCGGAGACAAGGGCAGTTAATCCCAGATGCCTTTCCCTAAAGATAAAGGGCAGCTTTTCATGGCAGATCTTTGAAAGACAGTTCTGTCATAGGTTTTTGTGATAACTTTGTTCTGCTCCTCTCTTCTAATGAGAAAAATACTGAAATGAATTCACAGCTTTGGCATAATTTTGTCATTAGCAAGGGATCAATACCTGAGGGAAAAGGAGAAAAGAATTCAAAATCTTCCTTAAAAAATCACATTCTGAAAAGAATGGTGGTAATGCACTTTTTTGACTTCAGGACCGACGTGAAATGAAATCAATAATTTTATTTGCAGAAATTAAATTGAAAAACAGAACCCAGATAAAGGTAGCTGATGTCATGGCAGCCTTGCAGGGAGCTGTAGTCAGTTCAGTCTTCTGAGAATCTGGAGGTGGAAAAAGCCATTTCAGAGCATCTTTCCCACCCAAGTGGGGCAGGACGAGCTGTACCCCAATGCCCAGGATGGCAGTTCCCTTGGAGCTGTGCCCAAGCTCCTGTGGTCGCTCGCCTGGTATCTGCCAGACACTTATTTTAACAGGGAGTGGTCTGTCACCAGACTGGCAGGTGCTGGCAAAGCTGATTGAAACCAAGTGCCCAGTGAGTCATACAAAAAAAAGGGTCAGGCTGGAGCTGCAATTGGAGAGGGAAATTCATTGAAATAAAGCTTGGCTTTGTTGCTTTGATTGGGGTTCCATTTTCCTGGGTTAGTCTACTGTAATTAGCAACAAATTCACCTCTGATTTAAACCTGCTGGCTGACACATCACACACACTGGATGGTGGTTAGGTGACTTACATATGTCAGCACGTCTTTGTTCTCAGAAGCATTAGTGGGGAATCCATCCCAAATCTAGGGCTGGTTTTGGAGGCCGTACAAGCCCCAACTGGTAAATGTTGGTATAATCTAAACCCACGCCTGTTGTTTTTATTAGCACTCAAATCTCCCCTCTTTTCTTCCTCACTGTGTCAGGCCACAACTGCAAAAGGGCTGGAATCCTTTTAGCATGTTAACACTTCCTTCACAAACATCCTGCTGCTCTCTTGGAAGTGCAGGAGCTCTTTTTTGAAGGGGGAGGAAAAAAAAAAATTCTCCAAACTCCAGGAACTATTTGCACTTGTGTTTGGTGACATCTGCTTTACTGCAGTCATCACCGAGTGCAGATCTGCAGCCTTTTCACCTCAGTCTCTAGGGCAGCAATTTTGTGCCCTAGTTCTTCTGGGCGCTTATTTGTCCCCTTTTTTTTTCCAAGGAGTGTAAGATGTAGCTCCTCTCTGTAAGAAAAGCTTTGGTTACTTACCCTAAGAGCAAAGATCTGGGCAGAAATCCCCACGGGGTAACAAAAACCTTCCCTGGGGAAAACATCCTTGAACTAGTTTGAACTGAAAGCTCCCTGATTTCACAGTGCCTTTGGCTGGAAAATATAAATGTTCAAAGGGCTGTGGCGTGATTAAAGATTTTTCTTGTCTCAGCTTCTGATGTGAGGGTGCAGGTTCTCCTCCTTCCCTCTCTGCTCCCACAGATTGGGTCTGTAGGAGTGAATGAAAACAGGCCAGGGTGGTAGGGGGAAAAAAACCCAGAGAGCTATGATGGAAAACAGAGAAATAAGGGCTTCTTTTTGCAGATAGTTCTCCGTGTCCCTTCCACACAGTGGGCCCAAGAAGATGATCTTGATTTTTGCCCCCACTGCAGTTCTGGTTTGGAACTGGGCTCTGACCCAAGGATGTCAAACTCCTTTCAGAGAACTCCCTCTGGACACTTGGTGATGTTTCTCTCAGCTCTGCTCTCTGGGAGAGTTTTGCTGTAGCTTTGGTTCATTGCGGTTCACTCGCTGGGTTTTTTCCACCACCTGAGTATTATTCTTCTTTTTCAGTTATTTTCTATAAGGTTTGGCTCCAGTTGTTTGTAATTACTGCCTTCTCCAGACCCTGCACTGCAGCATTTCCAAGCTCAGTATGAGAACGGTGTAGACTTAGGGGAACTGCATTTCTGATGTGTGATCGTGCTGCAAATCCCCAATCCTTGCGGATAGCTCAGAAGCTGGGGAAGAGGGAGAGGGAGCAATATGCTCTCCTCCTGCAGCTAAAGAGCCTCAAACACGCACCACAACCATTTTAAAGGAGCTGAATGCCTCCAGGGGAGATAACAGCGTTTTGACACACACAGAAATGGCAAAGCTGAGGTACCATTTCCATACAACGAGGCTAATTGTGGCTGTTTTAATTGCTGAGGGGACAGCTCAGGCCCACTGTAGAGAAATATCTCCCACAAGCAGCTTCTCTGCTCTCAGGATACCCAACCCTGGCCTTCCCTGCTGCCTTCCCTCCTTGGTCTGGAGTGGGAAAAGCAGGCAAGGGCTGTGGGCTGGGCCCCCAAGAGCTGTAAACATGCAGGGGAGTGCAGTGCCCACCACTCTCGTGGGTTTTGGTGGGTCAGGAAGGAGTTAAATGACAGCAGAGGGAGAGGCTGTGCTATTGTTCAGGCATCCCTGGGTCCAGGGTGGCTGATCTCTATTCCCGGATCTGCCTCTGGCTTCCTGCACGACCTTGGACCGCTCACTTACCTTTTCTTTTCCTTAGCTCCCAAACTACAACATGGAAATCCTTCTCTTCCTGCGGTGCCTCGTTCCCCACGGGTTTCAGTGGGGCTGAGATTCTCCGGTGGGAGGTGATGGGAGGAGGGGAACACATTTCCACTGCAGAAATGTTTACACAGAGGGCCCATTTGGGGGGCATGTTCTTGTTGGTTCTGATCCAGCGCGGGCTGTGCATATTTGGGTGATATTTGGGTTTTTTTAGAAGCAAACCTGTGGTGAAAGGCAAATGCTGGTGCAGCTGCCGAGAGCGCTGCCAGCTGCAAGGAGCCTGTTCTTCACTAGATGGTGCTTTGATCAAAGGTTTGGATAACCGCAGTTCTTTCTGCACAGAATTTCCTAATTTTTCTTCCCCAGTCTCCATTCCTTCCCCTCTCCTTTCCGTGCTTTAACACCACGGGGGACACTTAATGATGCTGGATATCGAACCAGGCTAATCTGTGGGACTGCAGGCTCCAGGCACCCACCAGCCCGCCGGGCTCCTGGGCTTTGGGGTTTGAAGCCTGGATCAGTGTGCTGGGCTGTGGCAGAGAATTGAATTCTTTCCGTGTTTTCTATTCCCATAAGGAAAAGGCTTCAAAGAGCAGGTCCCCTCCCCCTCTCTGCTGGTGAAGGGCATTTAGGGAAGCTGGGAAAAAAAAAAGAAGAAATCCAGCTCTGACAGATGCATTTATTTAACAAACCACTGCCTTTCCCTACCTTAGCAGAAGACTGGTTGGTTTTTAAAAAGGGAATTGCTGCTTTTATATCCATCTTTGTATTCAGGGGATGGTTACCTAGCCAAGGTCATTGCTGCTGCATGCCAGGATCGAACAGGGAGCCAGCCTCCTCCTCCTTTAACCAGCACTGATTTCAGTGGGGCTCCCCCACGGGAAGAGCGGGAATAGGGTTGGATCTGCCAGCACGAGGTCCCAAGGTCCACAGGAACAGCCTCCCCTTTCAGAACGGCAGCAGAGGAGATGAATGAAACCGTAATCAAACATTTCCTGCGCAGACATGCACGGGGAAGGGCTGTGCTGCCATCGGCCGTGGCAGCCTCTTCCCAGCATCCCACCCCGGCACACGCGAGGGATAACCGGGAGCTGGGCCCCATCCACGGCTCCCCGAGGCTCTCCCACCTCGGCACTCGCCTGCAGCGCTGAGGTTTGTCCCTGCAGCCTGGCGCTCCCAGTTCCCCCGTGCCAGGCTGGTGTTCCCAGTGCCAGGCTGGTGTTCCCAGTGCCCCGGCTCCAGGCAGCCACCCCGACACTCCCACCGCGCCCACCTCCCTCCCCGTGGAATTCGCGCTCTGAGGCCAGGAGGGATTTCGCTCCTGCCCCCGGCGCTGCCCCCGGTGGCAGCGATTCCACGTGCCCGCAGCATCCCGCCCCTCACGCGTGGAATGTCGTGCTCGTGGAAGTGACGCCCCCAGAGCAGGGACACGAGCGAGTGGTGCTGAGCCGCGGGTGTGACACAGAACTCCTCTCGGGACCGGGAGCTGGCAGTGATTTATTTGTCACCCCCCCTGTTGTTCATCGTTAGTAAGATATTGGTGGTGACTAAACCCCGGGTCTGCATCACACAGAAATTCGCCCAGAACTGCGGGGATGGAGAGTGAGAAGTGGGGACAGGGCATTTCCTCACATCTATTCCATCTGGACAGCAAACTCCTCTCCCAGTTCCTCCTGGCTGACAGGGAATTGCATCACTGGCCCGTGCAGATATCCCCCCCCGCCAAATGTGCTTGTTTTATTGTTTTCCTCCGATGGAATTCGCCAGCGTGTCCCCAAATTATGTGGTTCTGAAATTTAAAAGCAGCATACCTGTGTGGGGGAGAGAATGAGTGGTTTTCACTGTGCGAGCTGGCTCTCCCTCCCCTCCTCCCTTCTCCCCACATCCCCATGTGTTGTGGAGCCAGATGCTCCCGGAATAGTTTGGGAATGAAATGTCACCGTTTGAAACTGGTGAGTCACACTTTGGGGAGGAGGGGAGGAGAGAATCCGAAATCTTGCCGTGTGGCAGAGCGTCTCCTGGTGAGTACAGAGAGATTTTTTAAAACCACAGACTCCCTGACGATGGAGTTGAGGGGCTTTGAATTGAGGCTGCTGGGTGTGTCCACGCTGCTGTTTGCAGGAGGATCTCAAAATCCTCTGCAAACTTGGATTTTCTTCCCAAGCATGCCCACTGCAGCTGGATCCCGGTGCCTCCTCCAGCAGCACTGGGTTCTGTCTGTCTGACAACACACCTACAGTGACTCTCTTAATTAAGTCTCCCGCACTGCTGCGAGGTGTGTAATTACAGTGAGACCTGACTTAAGCAACTACTCGAGGGACTAACAAAAAAAAAAAAAAATCTTTACCAGAGCAGGGAGGAACAGAGTTTTACTGAATACATTTTTTGGAGATCTTTTAGGGAAAGTTTATTAAACAAAGGGAGGTAATTACTCCAGTTTCTTCCCAGTGTATCCCAATATTAGAACGATGCTTTTAATATACTGGGCATTAACATAGTCAGGAGGTTTTTTCTCTTCCAAAAGAAGATCTTGAGATCTTTTGTCTTTTGACAGAGATTGCTACAAAACAGTGTCAATTAATGCAAATGGTGGCAATCATCTTGCAAAATGAACTATTGTTTATCAGAACCTCAGTAGTTTTCCCTCCTTGCCCAACCCCTGACCAATGATCAACTTTTTTTCAGAAATGCAGTTTTAGGGTGTTATAACTACCCATTTTCACCACTCTGCATGGCAGGAGGTACCAAGAATGCTGTGTCTTGATGTAGTTGTGATATTAATGGTGTCCCCCAAAGAGCTGTAGCAGTTCCAGGTGGGCTGATTTTGGACGTTGCTGCCCCAGTGGTCTCAGTCCTGTCCCCGAGGTGGCAGCTGGACTGTGCATCACCACTCACAGCCCAGAGTATTAATCTAACCCACCAACTATTTCAGGTTCCTTTGCTATTCTGAGCACTGTGGTGACACGGAGGAGAGAAGATGTGCCACCCATCCTGCAGCCCCTGTTCCAGCAGTAATGATCTCCAGTTGGAGGACAGGAAGAAGCTGGAAATAGTAATATCAGAAATAATCCCCGGAGGGGCTGTCAGCCCTCCAGTCCCACCTCCAGTGGCATTCTGACTTCATGCTGTGAGTAAAACTCCCGAATTTCTCACCAAGCCCGCAGTGAACTTGGTGGGGATTTTGCAAGCCCAAGCCCTGGGGGGGGTTGATGCCATCTCTGCCTGTTTTATTCGGAAGACTGAGCTCAGAGCAAGATTTTCTGAAGTGTGCATTTCTATCTCAAATTTTAGATAGCGTTAACTGGAAACCCACATACTCTGGATTTGACAGAAATCATCTCTGGCTGCAGAGATTTGCTGCAGAGCCCAAGGTTTTCTTTAATACTAAATAAAAGAACCCCAGAGACAACCTTGAGAAGTCAAGTCTGTGTGCCATTCCAAATGCAGTTTCCCAACAGCAAAGCCTGTTTATTCTCTTATGTGCACCATTGTTGCCCTCTTTATTTAACTCAGACTGTTTTCAGTGATTTCACACTGCAGGGCTGCACAGAGTTGAACCAGCAACGCTGCAGGAGCTGAAAGTTGCAGCAGCAATGTAGGAGTGAGCCAGGGAACCAGGTAGGAAAGGGAACCCCTCTGGGTACCTGCTACACCTTCAGGTTTGAACTTTGAGATATTCCAAACCAGTACCTCTTAAAGGGATGTGAGTGTCAGTGGATCATCAATTCTGAGGTATAATGACAATATTTTAGCATTTGATATATCCTTACCTCTGTTGGTACTGGCATAGGTGTCTGCCTGGCAGGTTTAGTTCCCCAGATCCCTAATGAGGATTCCCTTTAGCCTGCAGATAACTCCCCTGATAATGCTGGGAGTGAATACTCCCCACGGAAAAGTAGCTTATTTCTCAGAATGAGGTTATTGTCCATGCAAATTGAGTAACAAAAGATGAATTTACTGCATATATACAACTCACTCGAGTCCTGCATGTTTCAAAGATAGGTGATGATTTCTTTAAAACTTAATGGCTTTTTGCCCAAGGTCCAAGGATTTTGTCTCATCACCTACAGTGGGATTTCCCAGGGGACTTGAGAAAACACATCCTCAGCCTCTTGGACCTTGGCAAAGCTGATACATAATGTGTGGAAGTCTTCCCAACAGGAACAAGCAAGCCTGGAAGGCCAAGATTACCACTGATTTGGTTTGGGGGGGGGGGGGAGAAAAAGACAACTGAAATGACGTTGGACATTCATTAGCAAAGCATTGTCAGAACACAATAGAAGAACAGACAAAAGCCAGTCCAGATTCTGTGGTATTTCCTAAAGGGCTCCCTCTGGCACACGGCTATTCCCTGCCAATCCTTCTGTATTGTTTTTGATAATGAATAGAAGCTGAACAGATGATTGTTGCATTGTCCACTAAGTGATTCATTTACATTAAATAGTGCTCCAAAAGTAGGCTTTGGGTGGACTTTTTTAGTCACTTTGGTTATTTATTTATACAGTTTAATTACCATCTTTTAACTCTCCACTGTAATAATTATTTCCTGATTGCTTCAGCTAATTTACACGGGGTGTAACTCCTCTGAAGTCAGCAGCCCAGCAAGCCCTGACGTAAGAAGCAGCATCCCTGCATTTTGAAAGGTGCTTAATTTTGAATGGCCACCTGTAGAAAACTGCCCCTGATTTGGGAAGGTGCCGAGGTTCTTGAGCATCCCTTGTGTCGCTGGCTCTGAGAGTTGGGCTATGAAGCACAGACTTTGCTGCATAAATCATCAAAATTCCATGGATTTCCTTCTTGGTCTCTCAATTCCTGCTTCATGTCTGCACCGAGGTTCTTGATTAACCCAGGGCTTCCCTTACAATTCCAGGCTTTTCTTACAGAGGTCGAAAGTTTTGGTGTGGTTTGGTTTGGTTTGCAGCTGTGACAGATGTGAGGTACTCGAGGGTGTATTGTTGGAGAAGACCTTCTGTGTAAGGAGATATTTAGCTCCAAATCCATGCCAGAACTGCAGGACCACTGATTTGGGTGTACTAATGGATGGGGGAGAATGACACGTACTGAAGGGCTTTTTGATGGTTAAACAATCTGAGGAAATCAACATCCAGGCCTTTTCATCTCCAGTTGTCTGAGAAAGATGACTTTGTTGAGTGGCTGCAGTTACATCTCAAAATCCCTGATCCCCTAATTATTCTCTGTCCCCCATTGGATGCAGAACAGAGAGGGTCAGTGTGGGCTTTTGGTTCTGCCTGGGTGAAACAGTCTGGGGGAAGGCAGCAAAGCAACGATAAAGAGAGAGGAAGGGAACAGTCCTAACAGCACTGAGTTGTTCCTGTAATGTGGCCTCAGTTTCCATCTCCCAGGGCAGCCTTTGCAGTCTCCTCTGCCATTTGCTCGGTCCCTTCACCATCCAGTTGGGAAAAATGAAATTGCCAGTCCTGTGCTGAGGTACAAAAGAAAGAAGTTTGTTTTGATGGGTTTATATGCCTGTACCTGCCAAGATGAGGCAAGACTGACTTTTTGCAACCAGTTTCCTACCACCACCTAAGCCAAATGAGCAGGGAGGACAAGAACACCCTGTAGCCTTCCAGCTCTTTGCCATTTGCTCTGGGTACAGCACCTGGGCAGAAGCTGCTGCGTGGCTGCCTCAGGTTTAGGAATGTGTTACATTCCTGTTACCCTCCTTCAGAAACTGCCTTTGCCTGGCCTGTGATTAATGCAAACTACCACCCTTAGTGCCTCCCTGAGCCTTCTTTTGGGTTATGTGGCATCTTCACAAACCCAGGTGAAACTCAGCAGAAATAACCCCAGCCTTCCCTCTGCACGAGCCCCCAGAGTACTGCCAGGGTTTCCCCTGCTGCCTTCCCTGAACCCTCCAGCGCCGCTGTCCCTGTGTTCCTGCCCTCCCAGGAGCCCAGATCGCTCTGTGCTCAGTGGCAGGCGATGAAATCAAATGCTGCATTAGCAGCTCCATAATAGCCGTGCTCAGTGGAATCCGGCTCCCTTCATTAATCCACAAAATGAGCCTTGTTTTCGAACATTTGAGAAGCTAATTATTTAAGTGCTGGGAATTAAGGCTCATCAGATACTGGAGGCTGAGTTTGGTTTTGCTTCCCAGGGGAGGGAATGAGACCAAGGGAAGCTGGTTTCGCACAGGTGAGCAGTGCAGCAAGTCACCAGTACTGGGAGCTGGGAACAAGAGTGTGCAGATCCTCGTCCACCTGATGCATAAAAGCCCCTCTCTTTGTACATCCCTGTTCTTCCAGACATCATCTAATGATTCCATCCAACATCAACCAACTGCCCCATCCCTGGCAGTCTTCAAGGCCAGGTTGGACAGGACTTAGAGCAACCTGGTCCAGTGGAAGGTGTCCCTGCCCATTGCAGGGACTGGAACTGGGTGATCATTAATGTCCCTTCCAAACCATCCCATGATTCTATGATTTTTCCCATTTAAATAGATTTCTAAAGTCACCACTGATCAAATACCTCTATAGCTTTATTTTTTTCTGCCTCACTTGTTGTTGACCTCGCCTGGATATTTTGCAATAAATGAATATTGCCTTGTCTCAGGTGGGTTTTTAGAGAGGGAAACAACCTCATACCAGCTGTTCTTCTTCAATCAGTTATCCTTCATCTTTACCTTTGGCCACCACATTCAGGGAAGGGTTTGGATAGAAAGGCTACTCCCTGAGCCGACAAGGAACATTCCAGTGCTTTGGGAAATGGAAGATGAACAGGGTGAAAACCCCCCTTGTCTGTGGGAAACCACAGACGAGGCCAGATCTGCTGTTCTAAACAAAGTTTTTACAACGGAATGACTTGCAACAGTAGATGGGTGCTTTTGAAATTCTTCCCAGAAAGTGCCAGAGAATCAATTGATGCCGTTGCCAATAACTATAGGCTAAGGAACAGGGACTGGGGGCTGATAGTGCCACTGGAGGGATCTCCTCTCTGTTACAGCAGCTTGCCAAGAATAAATGTTTCATTTTTATGGAGATGGCCAACGTCCTGCCTTGTCTTCAGAGACCGAGGGAGTGAACTGTTCCCTGCGTTCACTTGAAGCCAGATGTTAAAGTATTGTCTGGGTATAACTGACTTGACAAATAGCAGGAGTGACATTTTAGCTCCATTCAAGTCAGTGGCAAAATTCCTGTTGAGTTCAGCTGGGGCCAAGATTTCATCCTGTGACAGCGCTGACGGGAAATCTGATGAATGATCTCCAGAAAAATAAGCACGGGCATTGTGTTTGTCTGGGACCCTTTTCAGTCTGTGGGCCACGAATCCTTGGAGTTCCGTGCACTGCTCTGAGGAGATCTGCAAAGAGCATTTTATTGTCAGTAGATTTAAGTGAGCTATCCAGGGGAAAACGTCAGGGGTTGATCAGCAAGTTGTAAGTCAGTTTGATCCGCTGAAATCCACCTACCTGTGCAGTCCTTGCACTGCTTTGCTGACACACCTGATCAAAGGGAAAGGTTCCTGTTTACCTGAGAGCTAAACTGGACATTTTAATGCATATCAGGGGCAAGCACACCCAAGTGATACAGTAACAGTTGATTCATGTCTATCCAGAGGATCTAGAAGTGCCACCTTGGGATGACACGGATTGAAGAGGCAGTTACTTCGCTTTTCCATGGGAAGAACGCTGCTCTTCCCAGCTGAGCTATCATGGAACGCAGATGACTCTCTGGAGGAAGACTTTGCTGCACATTTGCAGTATGTTTTAGCTACTATCAACATTTATATTCCACTGGCATTTGAGGGTAAGCACTAATTAGCATAATCATCAATGCTTTAAAAATTAAAAATTCCTCCAAGAGACACAGGAGGGATTGAAAGTGTTTCCTTCCCCCAGGGGCAAACCCTTTCCCAAGCTATCCGCTGCACCAAAAGGCTTTATTCTAGAAACACTCCCAAGCTATGCCCAAGAGTAAATTAAACCACAGCAAACTTGTAAACTCCTGTGTGTGTATGTGGCAAGCAGGCCCTGATTTGACAATTACTACTCCTTAAAGTGTTGTCACTGTTTCTCCACTCCTGTTTTGTTTTGGCTGCTCCTCTGTGCTGTTGTGTCACCTTTGTTGTGCGGGCTGCAAAAATCAAGAAGTGTTTGTAGAGTTGGAAGTTTTTATACTTCCCAAGAAAGATCCTGGTGTCTCCACAAGACTGAAAGCAGAGGGTTTATTGACACTGCCCTCCCCCAGAGCTTGCCTCAAGCTCCCCCAGTCAGGAGTTGGCTTCAAAAAAACCTCAAGAGATATTATTTTCCACGTGAATTTAGAGAGGATTTTATACTGGTTCCAAAAAGGTTTACTACAAGAACCTCAAGTTGAATTTTTAGCTTCAATAGACCCCTCTTAATGGAGAATAAGGTGCCAAGAAAACCTTGGGGGAACTTAAAAGTTTGAAAAGCAACATCCATACCTTGGAAATGCCCCCAAAAAATTGATCTTTAAATTTCTACATTGCCGCCTTTTGGAGGTGAGAGAGGGGTCTCAGCAGGTGTGATCCAGGATGGGTGTCCTATGCGGGGGTTCATTGTGGCTCAGAGGATGCTCCTCACACCCTCAGAAGCTCTTCAAGTGGTGAGCAGGAACCTCAGGGAGCAAAAGTATTTCGCTATGACAGTTGCTCTGGAAATGGCCAGAGAGGAAAAAATCAGTAATTTTTCCAAAGGAAATATTTACTCGAGAGGAAAACACTAAAAAAAAAAATAAAAAAAATGTAGGTGCTTCTTAAAAGAGTTGTGTTTAAATTCAGGGTTCTTGTTATTTCTGCACAAGACACCACACCCTACGTGGAGTAACCACAGGGACTCTGCAAGACAGGGTGGCACAGAAATCTCCGTGAAAATTTCAGAGTCTGCAGGACACCGAGCATATGCATTGTCTTCTCGTTATCCTAGTTTTTTTAGCGAGATGGACTTTAAATTTCATTGGCAGAAATTCTCTCTTTTATCTTTATCTCCTGTTTTGATGTGGTAGCCATGGAGAAAAGCCCCAGATTAGTAACAGTAGGTTGGTGCAGAATAAGAATAACTTTCTGCTTGGATTTAGACTGTAGCAATATTGGGGGTTTTGTTTAACTGGAAACACTCAGATGGCAAAGAATAAATATTAGGTGCTGTTGGGACATTAATTAACCATTCCATTCCATTCTATCCACCTTGGGCTGATAATCCTTAACTTCCCTCTCTTCTGAGGGATGTTTAGGTGGCTTTAAGAAGGAAGGGGCTGGCTCTCTGTGACTGCTGCTTTTGAAAACTGGTTGGTTCCCCTGGGGGTCAATGTATTTATACTTTGGCCCTGCTACAGGTATCAGGGCACCTGAACCCTTGGAACTTATTTTGGGTAACAGTGAATGAAATGGGCCATATTTTGAAGCTGAGATGCCTCCAGCAGCACGAGAAAGCCAAATTCATGAAGGTGGGTGGTGCTGAGCTGCCACACTCAGGTGCCTGTGGCTGGAAGTGGTGTGGGCAAACACCTCAAGGGGTAATGGGTTAACACAGGAAGGATGTGCAGCACCTGTGGGCTGCACTAGGATGACTTAACAGGTCTAATGATTACACGGGATCAAAGAGAGGGCATATCCTCACTCCAGATTTCGCTCCTAATCCTCTGAAACACTCGGTGCAACTCGTGCACGCAGCAGCAGCGGGATAATCAGGCCCTTTCCTGGCTCTCGGCATCTTTTTTCATCCACCCGTGGGGCAATTCCAGGTTTATTGCTGCAGTGTAACCCCCAGGCTGCATGGAAGAGGGATTCCAGGGAGAGGCTAACAAGGAGTACGAGCCAGGAGGACCGAACATTCCGTGCTATTACAGGTGTCCCACGTGGCGCAGGTGTTTTGCCACCAAACATTATGGTTAGACACAAATCATTAAAAACTCTTTTACTCCCAGCTTCCTTGCTTTTTTTTTATTTTTTTAAATGGCAGCACCTCTGAAGGAAAGAGAAAGCGGGTCTGTCCCCAGGTGAGGGTCACAGATGTCTCTCATTTCTGGAAGCTGCAGCAGCGGGTCCAGGAACTGGGAACCGAATCAAAATCCACCAGGTGAAGATTTCGAGGGTACAGCTCCTGAGAAAGAGTGCAATTAGCACTCACTAAAAAATGGATAGATAAAATACCGTGGTGGTGCTTCACCACTTATTTTCTTGTTGCACAGCCCTTAAGAAGCCTCTGCAAAGCCTCCTGCCTCTCTCTCCAGAAACCACAGCAAAACTCCCATCCCTTCCCTCTTGCCTCACTCTATTATGTAACCCTATAGTGTGTGTGGGGCATACGAGCTCTAAACTATGCACATATTCCAACGTTTTTCACCGCCTCTCCATTTCCTTGTATAGGAAAAAAAAAACGAAACACCACCAGTTCCGGTTGGTTATACACCACTTTTTGTTTCTTCCCTATGGAAACCCCGGGCCGAAGGAGGGTATGGAGGGACCATATATGGCCGTGGGAGCTCCTCGGAGCGTGGCGCAGAGCTTCTCCCGGAGCGCGGGGGTCCCGCTCCCCTCAGGAAGCCGCGGAGGGAGCGGCGAGAGCGGTACCAGCGGATGTGACCGCAGCGCAGGCTGCGCTGGGATGGACCGCCCCCTCCGCGGCCTCCACCAATCCGCTCCCGGCTTGCAGCATGACTGACGGCCGCTCTGACCAATAATACCGCTATACTCTCCACGCAGGCCCCACCCCTTCTCTCAGTTGGTCGAGTGCCATGTCAATCATCCCTTTCCCGCCCCTTTCCGTCAGGGGGAAATGCTCCGTGGGAAGGGGGGGGGGAGAAGAAAGGGAAAGCAACCAATGAGACGCTGGAGAAGAGCGGATTGACAGGCGGGCCGACCAACCGCTGAGCTCCGTCCCGCCGCCGCTCCCTCCCCCGCGGGTGGCGGGGCAGAGGGGGCGCCCCTCCCGCCCCTTCCCCGTTGGTCTGTCCCACTCCGGGCCGGGCGGGCTGGGTTGAGTGAGCGGCTCGGACCATTGCTCGCGGCGGGCGGGGGGGGCGCGGGCGAGGCGGAGGAGGAAGGAGCCGGCGAAGGAGGCGGGGGGGCGGTTTAAAGGGACAAGAGCCGTGCGGGCGCCGGCGGGGGGAGCTGGAGCGGCGGCGGGCGGGGACTCGCCCCCTTCCCCACACACCGCCCGCTCGCACCGCGACCAGGGTCGCCTCCGCCGCCAGCGCCCCCCTCCCCTCCCTTCCTCTCCGCCCGCCGCTTCCACAGCGGCCTCTATGAGGTAGAAGGGAGCGGCGGCCACTCCGGGGGCGGCAGCGGCCGCTACAGCCGCCGCCTCCTCCTCCTTCTCCTGCTCGCCTCAGAGCGCCCCATCTTTGTGTGTGCGGGAGAAGGGCGGGAGGGAGTGCGCGCTGCCCGCCCGCCGCGCTTTGTTCGGAGCCGGGGGGCCGTGGCGGAGCCCCGGCTCTATGTGCCAGCGGCTCCCCGGCGGCGGCGGCGTGAGGGGCCGGAGCCCCTGAGGGCGGGGGGGCCCCGGCCCGTGTCGGTGCTGCGGGGCGGGGGAAGGGGCCGGCTCGCTGCCCGCCGGCCCGGCCCGTGTGCGGGCGGATTGATGTGGGGGGGTCTGACATGAGTCCGCCGGCGGCCGGGTGCTGCCATGTGACCGGCTTCAAGGTGGAGAACTGGAAGCAGAACCTGCGGGCGATTTACCAGTGCTTCGTGTGGAG